TTTCAAAACCCAACTCTCATGCCATTAGAAAGAGGATCATGAAAAACCTATAAAAAAATGGTTCATGAAATTTTAGTTCACTCATAAAGCTAAAGTCCGTCTGCTCTAGCAAAAAATGCCCATTGTGGCCTGGTATGGAAAGCTTTTCAATTACGTTGCAATCAAAAACGTTGAATTTGCTTTTTGTATGGTATGCGAATATATAGGTAATTACTTATTGCAAATATCCTTCGATACATGTTGTGTTGATTAAGATGTATGATGTTTATAAAAATATATATTTATATATGAACATGTATTTTGTAACTGGACGTAGGCGGGATCCGGACTAAACAAATGTTAACCGAGACTGGAAACAAGGATTTTTTGGACAATTTCGTAAAAACAGCTAAAAATTCACCTGTTTTCTATACTTAAATATAAATTGTTTAAAAAATTGCCAAGAAATTTGACAGTTCTTCCATAGACGCTTACCTTTTTATCTATTCTGGTCATGCAAACTTTATTTTTCCTATTTTATGGGCAAATATTTTTTGAAGGATTGGGTCTGAAAAAGCTTGGTTACAGCTAGATATGGCGGAACTAAGGTTGTTCAGTCCCGATCCGAAAAATTTCTTTGATTCCGTCTCGCAAAAGAATTTGCTCGTCAAATACGAAAAATAAAGTTTGCATGACACAGTAAACAGAATAGATAAAAGATTAGCGTCTATGGAAGAACTGTCAGACTTCTTGGCAATTTTCTAAAATATTTTTATTAAAGTATGGAAATAAGGTAAATTTTTAGCTATTTTTACGAAATTATCCAAAATAAGCCTTGATTCAAGTCTCGGTCCTGCCCGTATCTAATTGTAACACATTTAACATCATTTAACTGACATGAAGGAAAGAGGAGAACACTAGGGAATAGATATTCCCTTGACTGATAGCAAGGGTTATACATTCGAAAATGTCTGTCTGTCTGCAAGAGAGGGAAAATCTTATTTTCTCATCCATGAAGAGATATACAGTCATGAAAGTTTTAGAATAGAGACAATCGAGTATGAGGAATCCGAAAATGACTATGAGCGACCTCTATGATCGATTACTTCATCTGAATTTGACTCTTGAATAAAAGACAACGCTCACTCCCCCCCTTCGGTCGATGCTCGCTACCGGACTATCTAAAATATATTGTGAATTTTTCTCTGATTTTATGTGTAAGGTTCGTAACCTAATGTAAAGGTAAAAGGTTTTCTCCAGACTCTCCTAAGGTCCTCTGAAGTCTACAAATACTTCTAAATTTAAGACAATGCTCATGCCTCCCTTCGATCGGCGTTCGCTCCAGAAAAGCTGATATGAGAACTGCTCTGATTCCACGAAAAAAGTGTTCCTTTTTTTTGTATCTAAAAGCGATCGTTGTCTACTGTGTTGTTATTTCTATTTGTCTATGTTACATTTCTTCAGACAGCCAGGTTTGCTTCAACAGTTAGAATTTACCATTGGAAGCAATAAAATCTTGGTTTTCTCAGAAGTGAATAGCCAAATCAAAATAAACAAAATAACAAACAAATTTAAAAAAATGCGTTGTGTTGAATAAATTTTCTGATCAAAACAATAACCAAAATACAATGGCTTTTTTTTAACTTAATTCATTTTACCACGTTTATTCCCAAACACTACATTTGTAGCTTTATTTTAGGCGAGTTCTATTTCATCAGCTTTTAGAGACTGGGTATTTGCAACCTTGTTTCTCGCACAGAAAGTTCTTTTGCAGGGTATAACTATTCGCTTCAAATCGATTCACATAGAAAACAACTCAGATTTCGGAAGAGTTCTCTGGAAACTCATAAAACCGATTTTTTAGTAGTTCTAGGACGAATAATTTCCAAGACTGTGTTCAAAGATCACTTACAACTTCTAAATTTGACGGTAGCACAACACACGATATTGTCTAGTCAACGGAGCGAGTTTTTCTTTCCTTTTTTGTAGATCGGAGATGTGGAAGAAATTTTTTAAGAACAACAATCATGTCGTTGTGTGAGCCTTGTACAGGGATCTTTTGTTGTCAGAATTCAGCACAACAACACCTACAATCAGTTATGTCAAAGGATAACTTTAATATGAAAAAGTACGGTGTCATGATGAAACATTTCAATAGAAATGGTCAAAATGTAAAAACATTGGAATTATTCGATGAAACGATTTTTATAAAATGAGGTAAACATGGACAAAGTCATTTATCTTCTAGCCATTGGCGCATGTGCAAATATGAAAAATTTAGAACGAGGAAAACAGATTCATCGTAGGATAGTTAACAGTAAAGATGAACCAATAAAAAATGCAATTCAATTATAGAATGCTTTGATAAATATGTAAGCGAAATGTAATGATGTTAAAAATGCTGAGCTGATTTTTCAACAAATGAAACAGTGAGATATTGTTACGTTTAATTGTATGTTAAAAGGTTCGTACCGTGAGACTGAGGTCATGTTTTTTTTGAAAAATATGTCGTCTCACTTATTCTGTGTAATAGTGAAGATTCTTCACTTTTAAAAATTCTTGTATGGAGAACCTTTTTAAGCTAAAGATCAAGGCTTTTTCGAAATGTACATTCTGCTTTACGAACTTTGAAAAACTTGTTCTTTCTATCTAGGCTATACAGTCAATGAAATGGGACATAAAGCAATGAAATTAGCAAAATTAATTGAAGAACATCAATTAAAGTTTGGTGCTGTTACATACAATTTAGTCATTAATACATGTATCCAGATTGGTAATAGTGAAAGTTTCGAGAAAGTCAAGCAGTATTATAAACAATTGTTACAGGATGAAAAAATTCAATTGTCTGATAATATAAAACTATAAACATCACTGACAGATGTATAGGGCCAAAGCGGTGGTGTAAAAATGGCTGAAATAGTTTTTAATGATATGAATAATCGAGATGTAACAGCATATGGTGCATTAATGAAATGTTATAATATGAATGAATTACCACATCGATCAATTGAAATATACAAAAACACGAAACAGCAATTCATTGTTACTCATATACTAGTTCTTAATGCATGTGCTCAACTCGGTTTTAAGGTATTATTTGAAAACATTCATGAACAAATACCGAAGCAATATGTTCATCATGACTTAATGTTACAAAATTCTTTGATCGATGCGTATTCTAAATGTGGTGATGTTAAAACAGCCGAAAATATTTTTAGCTCAATATCCAAACGTGATATAATTACGTATTCTGCAATGATAAATGAATATGGTATAAATGATTATGGTCTCGAAGCTGTCACTTTATTTTACAAAATAAAATGACATACTTTACAGAGAACATGCTTGAATTTTTTTGAAAAAAACCTGAAAAATTTTACGCGCTCATCTGAAAAATGTGGCAGGTATTTTGAAATTTTCACTCTCATCCCTGCTTTTTCTGAACGAAGATGTATAGAAAATTAAAAAAATTGTGGATTTTACTATTCGAGAGAAGATGGCATCTTTTTCTAAAAAGTTATTTAGTTTTTACAATACAACACCTTCTGCATTTTTCATTCCACATTTTAGACTATTATGAGCTTCTTATTGTCAGATGAAAAGAAGTGAGTGTAGTCAGAAACTCTATTTTTGATATGATTGACTTTTTACTAGGTTTGTGACTTTGTTCAGAAAATCAAATATTACCACTAGACTCAATGTACGTGTCGGTTGTTCTCTGTAAAGTATGTGTTGTTCTAGATTGACACATTAGCACGTGCTTACCTATTTGATGAAGCTCAACAACTTATTGACGAATATGAACAGAAACAAGGAAATAAATCGGATTTACCAGTGTATATGGCATTATTATCAGGCGCAAGAAATAATCACAATGATCTAAAAGCAAAAGAAATTTATAATCAATTGTGTTCGATACCTAATGCAGACAAGAATACTTTGGTAGCTGCGGCGGTTTTATTGGCTAATACATATTCTGCACATGGTAATTATGAAGAAGCAACAAAAATAAGACAACAACAACTGGTTGCAGAGAAGAAAAAAAAATGAGTATTAGTTGGACAATAGTAAATAGTGAAATTTTTGAGTTTAAAGCACATGATCGACGTCATCCACTATCAAATGAAATTTATGAAGAATTGAACAAGATGATCAAAGAGCTCATACAAGATGGATATGAATGCGATAAAAGTTGTAAGTTAATTACTTAATAACTTGTCAGAGCTGATGCACTGTTATTACCAACTGTTTGTCTAGTTTTTACGAGAGTAAAAGCTATTAATACTTTATTTAGGGGTGACACATATTGCAGATCCTGAAGAAAGTGTTGAATATATATTATGTGGTCATTCGGAGAAGCTAGCGTTAGCTTTTAATTTCATTTCTTCTCCAACGTCTCGAAAAACGATCCAGATTACAGAGAATTTACGCATATGTGGCGATTGTCATAATGCCACAAGACGCATATAAAAAATCAGACAATGTGAAATAATTGTTCGTGATAAGAATCGTATTCATCACTTCAAAGATGGTTATTGTTCGTGTGGGGAACATTTTTAACGATTTTGTTTTGTGCGTTCATGTTGACACAATTATAGCTTGATAAAAAATGCAAACAGGAGATGTAAATTGAATTGTTTGTTCATTTTTTTCCTGTTCATCAGCTTCTGTGCCGAAACATCGAATAATGACTGATTAATTGTGTCTGTGTAAATATAGTAGAAAATTTTCTATTTTTTCTTGTTCTTCACATAGAATACCTTTATTTATCTGTCACACTCGTTCTCAACGCACTAGTTTTTAATAAAAACCCAAAATTTAAGGGCAGGGCTATACGAGTCCAATATTGTGCATTTAAGGTCGCACAGTGGCATTCAGAAAAAATTCTGTCGTCCTTTCGAAGAATGTATGAAGGTGCCATTAGTTGCACCACACCCAGAACCAGAGGCTTCTTTCTGGAACCAATTTTCGATGATCCATAGAATCGAGGAAGAGAAAACAGTTGTTTCCAACGCACAGTAAATATGCCACGAATTACTAGATTTAAAGATGTGTTACCAAATAGTCTCGATTCAAAAGTACCTCTTTCCGTATGTCTTTTACGGTAGATAAATTAAAAAACTTAGGTTATGGTAGTTATTTCTTTGTTGAAGTTGTTGTGGAATCGTCACATTAATACGCAGTTGATAGATCATAATGTTAGTCAATTTATTGAAACTATTTTGTTAAAATCAATTGGTTTACACGAAATGCTTAGTGTTAAATCAGAATCGATCACATTAAACAAGTGCATTCGTTGAACTAATAACTATACTTGTCCTACTTAAATCATTGAAGCAAAATCGATATTATTAGAACAAAAATGTCTATTAGATAAAACTCAGACATTTTTGTTCTAATAATATCGATTTTGCTTCAATGATTTAAGTAGGACAAGTATAG